TAACAAAGAGATTTAAATATATAGGTACTAACTACTTAAATGTCTTTGGTTAATAACAATGCCAGTATTTTTTTTTAAATAGTTCTTCCTATTATTTCGGTCTCTTCTTGTGCGGTGCTTTAAAGATGGTTAATATTATGAACTTTAACTGTTAAAATAAATAGTTAAAAATTGTAATTTTTTAAATAAATAAAATTAAAACCATATTGAATAAAATCCACGATTACATAGCTTACCGATTTATAATTGATTATTCGTGTTTACGCCATCTAGCGCACATCTTATGTACGTACCACTTTGAGAGTCAATCAATTTTTGCTCGATGAAATGACTTTGTCTATAGAATGCAGTAGATGGCGCTATTATAAAGCAATTTTAATAACACTAAAATTAAGTCTAAGAGGAAGGCTTGTAATATTTACTTACTATAAAAATTAAACCTTCCGCTCTTGTGGTTGAAAATGATTATATTAAATTAATTTGCTATGAAATATTCTTATTTTATATTTCATTTCATTTCAAGGTTTCACTTCTACCGCGTGTGAACTGCACATGTTTTTTTTAGAATAAGGATCACAAACGAACAAACAGTCCATCTGATGTTAAGGGGCTACTCCATGCGAACGACCTTGAGCATTTTGCCGGCGGCACGTCGCTCGCTTCAATATATTGCTTATTTGAAATATGTACGACGCCACCACCTATTGTAGGTACGAACGTAGTATTATTTTTTCAACATCAATGAACTAATTTATGGAAATACGCACAGAGTACAACGATAAATGTATTTTAATTTTTTTATTCGGTATATTAGTTGCATTATATTAGAATTATGTATTTTCATATATTATCTAATTATGAAATTTTATAATTAATTATATATTAAAAATGAGGCATTGAAAATTGTGAGTTTAAAAGATACCTATTCACTATAGGTAAATAAATAGATAGCTCACCTTTTGTACAAATATTTGGTGCAATAAAGAATAAATAAATAAATAGGATGTTTCGTAGATGTGTTTTTGATTATTGTTAATTTTTACGTGTCACGTATTGAAAAGTAATATACCTACCTACTAATACAAAAATCAACAAGAAGTATAAGGGTTCAATCTTTCAATTTCAATTGTAAAAAAACGTTACCCCCACACTAGGATTTTCTCCTGTGTCGTGGAGGCAGTTTACAAACATAAATTGCACAAGGACAAACATCCAGACCCGGAACAATTATTTGTAGGCCATACAAATATTTGTTCCGTGCGAGATTCGAACCCGCGGCCCCCAGCGCAACAACTGATTGCTAAGCCACTACGTCACGGAGCCGTCGCCGGGTTATAGCTAAAGTGACCATACGTCCCGTTTTGAACGGGACTGTCCCTTTTCTCGGTCACCTGTCCCATTGTCCCCAAACAAAGTTCCGGGACACAAAATTGTCCCGTAACTCGTTGGATGGAAGTATTCAAAGTCAACAATCTTCAACATAATTTTTTTTAATCGAATATATTTTATGTCTACCTGGTACGAATGCTCCGCTAGAAAGAGTATTTTTTTATTTTGAATAAATTGTGGACGTCTGAAAGAAACACTTACGGTTCCAGTGTTCTAAAGGCGATGTTGTTAACAAAGATAACAATAAAAAAACTTGAGCAGAATCTTATTTTTATTTAAAATCATCCCCAACTTTATTAAAGCAAATTTAATCCACTGACAAATGTAATTAATAATTTAAAAAAATATGTTGCATTTAATAATTACCGTCTATACCGAATATAATTTTACAGTGAACACTAATTGTATAAAGTTATAGTTTTTAAAGTTATAGTATTATAGTTATAGTATTAGTATAAATAAACCCATGTCCTGTTTTGAGTTAAAAAGTAAATGGTCAGTTTAGTCTTTTTAGTTAAATTTAGTTTTAAAAATTTTTAGTTAATAGTAAAAAGTAGGTATATTAGTACCTACTTAGATACTTTTTACCGAATTATAAGTATAGAACACCTTATTTACTCAATTATTTTTTGGAAAAGAAGAAAAAACAAGTAATAAATAATATACTATATTTTAGCAAAAAACTATAACTTAGTAATACTAATTATAACTTAGTACATAAATTAAAAACTCATAACTGACTTTTTGGCCCGACCCAGGATTCGAACCCGGGACCTCATGATCAGCAGTCGCACTACTACAACCACTAGACCAACGAGGCAGTACTATACCTGATAAGATATTGTGGTTGGGTGATAATATTGAATTAGCCTTTTATAGTGTAAATTATAATATTTGTCGAAATTTTAATTATGGATTCGAACCTTACATGCTAATGGTGCTTCATTTTTTTATTTGCATTTACTTCAAAGAAAATACACGCAAAAATCTTCATCGCGCAGTAAAAAACACAACAAATATATGTATAACTAATACGAAAAATTATACCCAAAACAAACAAATAATACTACCTATAAATAACCTAATAAGTAATAATATTATCGACTCATATGACGTGGCGTATGCGTTGGTCGACGCTCTAACGACACGGGCTTCACGTCGAAGAGCTCAGCGCTCACTGACTTCAGCAAGCCCGTGAGCAGTAAATATGCCCAGATTTTAAAATAATTTCTTAATAAAATCAAATTTTGGTCTTTTGAAAAAAAATTTACTATAGAAATGTTCATTAATAAATTGCCTATCCATTGGTGTAAATCGCAAAATAAAATAATACTTACTTTACGAAGAGATGCATGTTATCAATAATAATTTCACATTTATGTGGTTTCGTTGTAAGGTGATTATATTAATATTTATTCCTTTAAAAAAAAATTGGATATAGCTTTTATGGAATCAAGATTATGTAGAAATATAATGTGTTTTTTATTTGTTGATATATCTCTTAAATAAAAAGTAGATAGCTCCTAAAAATCGCACAAATAACGACTAACGCGACATTTTGCTCAACCTGCACCTTAAGTAGATGCTGTGGTACGTAAGACATCCACATTTATCTTCACTAAGAATCATAATGCACATGCATTGTAACCCCTGAGAATTAATATGGAATGCCTCGTTTCCAGTAGGAAGATCTCCGGTTCTTTACACTATCCATAACAGACCTGCCTGATCCTGCACCGGTCGAGGGGACCCATTCGTGCTACAACCACAATACAGCTGCGGCGTGGTTTTACCACGTATAAAACAGAACAGGACAGAATTAAAAAGAAAACCAATCGAATCATAAATCTTTATTGGACCCAAAAGACACCAACACCGTATAAAATGTCAAACGATACTATCATTAAACAACAAAAACAAAAACATTGTGCCTCGCATTAAATAATCAACAAAATAATAATAATCTGTAGATTCACTACATCATTAAACATGTAAAATATGAAGACATTTTCATTAAAAATAACCACGTTTTAACCTATAATATAATCAAATTGAATGGTATTAAAATTCCAGAGGCGTTCAAAATATAGGTAAGTAAAATGTCACTTTATCATGATAATATTCACCCTATTGCTCCAATAATCGATTTAGAATATCCCATATCTTATTTGAAATATTCATATGCATTTAATAACAAGAAGTATTTTTAAAGTTTAGTCTGACAACATTCAATTTATTAGTGTGAACAAAATAATAGATATTAAAACTCGAAATATTTTTAATTTGCTGGCAACTTAATCATCGCTTAAAACCGAGTTTTTTTTATTTTAAAATTTGGCAAATCTATATTTTTACTACCAATATATACCGCGTATGACTTTAACTTTACATCAAAAGACCAAGCACAAAATAGAGCTCTTCGTTATGTGCTCTAGGTTTATTTTTTTTTAGACTTATAAAGTTCAAAGTCAATGATTTATTTACTTTTATAATCAATTTAAAGAACTATATTTGGCATAACTTTGAGATTAAACATGCTTTTTATTAAAACTATTACAAAATAAATATGTGTAATAACTTATAACCTATAAAACTATTTACATAATGTTAACATTATGAAATATTTTCATTGACAAAAGTTATTACAATTGTATTTTTTTTGTTTGTATTGATTTTGTGATTAGGACTTTTATATGTTTCAACTGAAAAATAAGTTTTTATTTTACTCCCAATTATATACAATAGGGAATTAAAATAGTTTAGACATGGCCCCTTATAGGATTTGGAAAAATATATTACTTATTTGATTCAAACTATAGACAACATATTTAAAATGTGTTAATTAACTTGTATAGGTGTAATAGATTTGAATACTATACGAAAATATTCAATTGTAAAAAGGAAAGTCAAAATTCTTTCTATTCAATTTATAGGCAGAAAAATATGTCAATAAAATAAAGTATTAATAAACGTAAGGAAATATCAACTTGATATTTACTTCGATTGTAATAAAATCATAATTTAAGATTCTTGCAATGTAATTAATTTTATCTAAGCTTACATTAAGTAAACAATATAAAACAAGCAAAGCTAACAATAACCGCAAATCATGTAGATTTACACAGTTTCATCTAGCTGAGCTTACCTACGATTTTAAATTAAAAGACTTGACTTGCAACGAATATTCGGCTATTATTCGGTATTCGGCCTTAAGTAAGAAGTATTGTTCTAGTCAGATAATTGGTAAAATTTAAATATTTTTTTTTTAATTAAAATAGTCATAGGTAAATAACAAACTTCCATAATATTACAATATTTAAAAAAGTACTATATAAATGTCTATGAATATGCATACGAATTATCGTAATTTAAATGGAAGAGAATGGTGCATAAAGACTCATTTTTCTTCTCGTAGACAACCAACTGAACACATTTGTATAATATTCGGCTATTAGGCCAGGAAGCCCGCAGAATATTCGGTATTCGGCGTATGGCCATTTGGCATACTTACTATTCGTTGCAAGTCTAATTAAAAGAAATTAATAGACACAAAAAACATTCATTGTTTTAACTAGCAACACTGGTTTCTGTGCTTCTATAAGATATTTATTCTAAAGCATTAATTTTTTCTCCAATGCAGCCCAAATCGGATCAAGAGGAGCATGCTCGTATTTGTTGTATATATTCCCGTCTTGAATAACAGATGGCGTTGTCTCCCCAAACCTTACATAATACTCTGAAGCACTGTTAGATGGCGTTAATTGCTGCGCGCGGCGACGACCAGAAGCAGAGCGGATGCTTCGCATCATGGCGGCCGATTTTTCCCGCTCTGTAGGGGAATTAATAGATATTATTATTATTATTATTATTTTAAACCGAAGTGACCAACGAAATTACGGTCCTCGTGATGTAAATGGCTACACCGACACCTGCAGCCATATTCAAACATAGAAGGAGAAGGACTAAGATGGAATGCCTTACAACCTATAATTATACTGACTCTCTATACACTTTGAACCGGACCACAGTAGTGCAAGCAGTATTTGGCGGCAGAAGTAGATCCCAATTGATAAGTCGAAATGTAGTGATGTTGATTTCATAGTAACAATCATCAATATTTGGTAAGAAAAGGTTTCAAAAATATTATGTACTTACATATTATAGTGAACGTTTAAAATTAGTGACACCATTGATTTGATTTTTAGCGGATAAGTCCCGATTATAAATTGGTTAAATGGACATTCAGAAATGCATTTTATACTATTTTCAGATGTACAATTCAACTGAAATCACGATAACGGATTACCAACTCGTTTCACAAAATAAAGAGACCATCTTTATTGTGTGTTCTTTCACCGCCCCATTTCGTCCAGTGGGTGTTGTACAAAACGAGTATAGGAATTGCTAAATACGTTTGTATGACGGCTCTTCAAAGACCACTGTTATTCCGCCCAAAAATTGCTTATTTCTTGGCTGAAAAAGAAAACGTTTTCATGAACCGCATTTAAATTTCGCAATCGAATTTCTGCCGGAATTCAAAAAATTTCTATTTATGTAAAACACAGTAAAACACTCTGTTCGATCCAAAAAGGGCGTATAGAAGTTAACATTCAACATAAAATTTTATTGTTAATTAAATTGTATGTTACCTACATGTTTTACTATAATTTTTCTAAAATTCAGCAAATTTTTAAAAACTTAGCCACAACGTCGTCTGCGGTAACTTTGAACGTTTGGTGGCATTATCACCAACGGCAGGCCTCTGTCACTCTTGCTACCTGCGTGAAATAATTACTTACGATCGTTGGGGCACCCCCGGGGCAGAACGCAGTCGTAGCTAGCGCTTTCTATGCGATTAAATGTTAGTTTTTTAACGCTGTTTATGTAAATTGTTTTATGTAAGTACTTGATGAAATACTATTCGAAAAAGTTTTTTTTTTATTGTTTAGTATATTTAATTGTAGGATAAAATAGTTGAAAAAACTTTAATGTAATTTAGCAATAATATATATGTATTTTATCTATCTATTTCATTAATCATAATGGCAAAGCGTCGTTCCTGCTATAATTGGTGCAGGGATGGATGCTTAGTGAACAAACAAAATGATCCATATATATCATTTTTTAAATTACCGAAGGATAATTCTATAGGATATTATAGCGAAAAAAGAATCAAGTAATAATTTAACTACGGAAGTAATACCTAAGAATTTTATTACAAAGCTTAGTTGAAATTTACTTCACTATCCAAGTAGCTACTTACATACCTATACTTGTATTTTGCAATTAAAATATTTTATGTTATAATAACACAAAATACTGAAATTAAAACTTTGTTTACAAGATTTTAAACTAACTAGAATACGATCACATTTCTGTTAGGAATCGTATTTCGGGTTTATTCGTTGTTTACACTATTTACCGCATCGCGATTTCCAACATCACAGAACTCATGTGAGTTCTGTGATGCTCAACGCATTTCCGCTACTACATAGTAGTAGCGGAAATATGGTGGATCATAGTCAAAATAGGTACTTTACCTAAGTAACTTTATTTATGCCTGAATTTGGTCATGTTGAACACCGTCCAATTGCGTTCGAGCTGTCGCTTCACCCGATAGTATGTAGGTGAAAAAACGCCGCCAGGTGGGGCGGCGGTGTGCGGCTCGTATAGCTCGACGCGTGGGCGAGGATGAGCGAGTTGCCCACTAGCCGCGATGAGGGGAACCCGCGTAGCTCGTAATCGCGGCGGAAGTTCACGCGACCGTTGTCGGGTCCAGATAGTTAGATTAAGTGCGTGTTACTTCCTTACGTGGATATGTGAATTTTGCAATATTTAACTTGTTCGGGGATGCGGAATTGTGCACGCACGCGTCGAGTAGATATACGGTCTAGGGTTCGAACCGCCCATTCCTTGTTCGAGAGCTTCTCCCGGTTGATCATCAGGAAATCATTATAATCGTGTCGTCGCGTTAAGTGCCCTTTTTTGTGTGGCTTGTTAGTTTACGCGTCAACGAGGCGTATTTTGAATCTTTTCGCGACGTGGTTTTTGGTTTCGAATGAAGGAACTTAGTTGTGTTTAACGCTGAGTAGTATGACTCATTAAGAGATCGCTTTAATTCTCTCTTTATAATTTTGTGATAAGTGAATGCGGGACATTGAATGTTGAACTTTGAACTACTGTCCGTTACTGTGTCGGGTATCACGTGTTCGATTCTACGATGAATGTGGAATTAGGCGAGTTTAAGTTGGTTAAATGTACAATGAAGCTAATAGACTGAAATAGTGACAAGGAAGCAAGAAATGGTCAAGCGGTGGAGCCTGCTGGAGCGATGCAGCGTTTTGGGGCAGCCGGGAACTCGGCCGCTGCTGTTCGCCTAAGGAGGTCAAGGTCTCACATATTTACACATCATTAAACACTACTTGCCATGCACCTCACACCCACTTACGGCCTGACCGAGCCTTGGAGCGATCTAAGAGTCGCAAACAGGTACGTAATATGTTTTTCTAGCATTCTCCCATATAGCTTAGTGTTATAGGAAACTCTTCCATGTGGTCATTTTGGGCCCGACCTGCGGCTGCTCGTGGAATTTTCTGCTCATGGGCCCCAGAGGATTCGACCCTCGCTGAAGCAGCTGTAGGCCGTAACAAACTTACTTACCTTTTCACAATGTATTTTTTTACTCTTTATTAACAGACCAAAGATGCAAAGTAATACGGACACTCGCGCGCAGCGATAAAGTTTTATTTAGCCTGCGTGCGTGATTTATCTGATTAATAATAACTATGTAGGCTATTAAAACGTTGGCAAGCAGTCAACATTGAAGGCGTGCAACTTCTGTACGTAGTACTATTATTTATTCTGTGCCAACGGTCAGCATGTATCGCTATGTAAGTTTACCCAATAATTTAACTTTGACGGGGTTTCTTTTATTTATTTTCATAAAACTATTACAGGAACATAATCATATTACGATATCTAAAAGCTCCATCATGTACTGGACAAGGAATTTCAACATATTGAATGATAAATTAATTGTTACAATTTAAGAGAAAAAAAAAACTGTATTTGCTAACCCGTTTTTTGCAAATATCTCCTCTTTGTGTCTATGGGGGAAGCCTACGTTTAGTAGTGGACTTTTGGTAATTGTATTTAAGAATACCCATCATCACTACCATATCAATCCATTACAAGTCCACTGCTGAATATGAGCCTCTCTCAAGGAACGTCAGGTCGTCACTCCAGTGTGTGCGTGTGTGCGTGAGTACCGTCGGGCGTGGCGAGCTGGCAGTACTTGAGCGTGGGCGTGTGTGCGTGAGTACCGTTGGGCGTGGCGAGCGGGCAGTACTTGAGCGTGTGCGTGTGTGCGTGCGTACCGTCGGGCGTGGCGAGCGGGCAGTACTTGAGCGTGTGCGTGTGTGCGTGCGTACCGTCGGGCGTGGCGAGCGGGCAGTACTTGAGCGTGTGCGTGTGTGCGCGCGTACCGTCGGGCGTGGCTAGCGGGCAGTACTTGAGCGTGTGCGTGTGTGCGTGCGTAAAGTCGGGCGTGGCGAGCAGGCAGTACTTGAGCGTGTGCGTGTGTGCGTGCGTACCGCCGGGCGTGGCGAGCGGGCAGTACTTGAGCGTGTGCGTGTGTGCGTGCGTACCGTCGGGCGTGGCGAGCGGGCAGTACTTGAGCGTGTGCGTGTGTGCGTGCGTACCGTCGGGCGTGGCGAGCGGGCAGTACTTGAGCGTGTGCGTGTGTGCGCGCGTACCGTCGGGCGTGGCGAGCGGGCAGTACTTGAGCGTGTGCGTGTGTGCGTGCGTAAAGTCGGGCGTGGCGAGCAGGCAGTACTTGAGCGTGTGCCTGTGTGCGTGAGTACCGTCGGGCGTGGTGAGCGGGCAGTGCTTGAGCGTGTGCGTGTGTGCGTGCGTACCGTCGGGCGTGGCGAGCGGGCAGTACTTGAGCGTCTGCGTGTGTGCGTGCGTACCGTCGGGCGTGGCGAGCGGGCAGTACTTGAGCGTGTGCGTGTGTGCGTGCGTACCGTCGGGCGTGGCGAGCGGGCAGTACTTGAGCGTGTGCGTGTGTGCGTGCTTACCGCCGGGCGTGGCGAGCGGGCAGTACTTGAGCGTGTGCGTGTGTGCGTGCGTACCGTTGGGCGTGGCGAGCGGGCAGTACTTGAGCGTGTGCGTGTGTGCGTGCGTACCGTCGGGCGTGGCGAGCGGGCAGTACTTGAGCGTGTGCGTGTGTGCGTGCGTACCGCCGGGCGTGGCGAGCGGGCAGTACTTGAGCGTGTGCGTGTGTGCGTGCGTACCGTCGGGCGTGGCGAGCGGGCAGTACTTGAGCGTGTGCGTGTGTGCGTGCGTACCGCCGGGCGTGGCGAGCAGGCAGTACTTGTGCGTGTGCGTGTGTGCGTGCGTACCGCCGGGCGTGGCGAGCGGGCAGTACTTGAGCGTGTGCGTGTGTGCGTGCGTACCGTCGGGCGTGGCGAGCGGGCAGTACTTGAGCGTGTGCGTGTGTGCTTGCGTACCGTCGGGCGTGGCGAGCGGGCAGTACTTGAGCGTGTGCGTGTGTGCATGCGTACCGTCGGGCGTGGCGAGCGGGCAGTACTTGAGCGTGTGCGTGTGTGCATGCGTACTGTCGGGCGTGGCGAGCGGGCAGTACTTGAGCGTGTGCGTGTGTGCATGCGTACCGTCGGGCGTGGCGAGCGGGCAGTACTTGAGCGTGTGCGTGTGTGCGTGCGTACCGCCGGGCGTGGCGAGCGGGCAGTACTTGAGCGTGTGCGTGTGTGCGTGCGTACCGCCGGGCGTGGCGAGCGGGCAGTACTTGAGCGTGTGCGTGTGTGCGTGCGTACCGTCGGGCGTGGCGAGCGGGCAGTACTTGAGCGTGTGCGTGTGTGCATGCGTACCGTCGGGCGTGGCGAGCGGGCAGTACTTGAGCGTGTGCGTGTGTGCATGCGTACCGTCGGGCGTGGCGAGCGGGCAGTACTTGAGCGTGTGCGTGTGTGCATGCGTACTGTCGGGCGTGGCGAGCGGGCAGTACTTGAGCGTGTGCGTGTGTGCATGCGTACCGTCGGGCGTGGCGAGCGGGCAGTACTTGAGCGTGTGCGCCGCGTCGCCGCGCGCGCCGCAGCGGCGGCAGGTGAGCGCGCGCAGCACGGGGCAGCGCACGCGGCCGGCGACGCGCAGCGCGTGCCCGCGGTACCAGGCGGCGCGCTCGCCGTTGCTGCGGCAGAACGCGCACCCGCGTGTATCTGCAATCTGCACCCACCGACACAAACTCTACTGTACGTGCCTCATTGCTCTTGTGATCGTAAACGCGACTTCTACTAATGAGGTTCCTAGTCACACCAAAAATCAGTTAAGTTTTTCTATCAAGAAATACTCTGCAATAGCCTGGTTGAGGAAGTTAAGCTTAGTGCTCAAAATAATGACGCATCTTAACTTTTTTTTGTTTAAAATTTGCTGCCGGTGTTCGTGAAGTAGTAGCCACTTACTATCAGATGGACTGTGAATTCGTTTTTTTATAGAAAATGGGGCACACGAGCATGCTGATTTTTAATTTTTAACCGCCGCCCATGAGAACAACTACAACACAAGGTGAATTGAAAATCGTGCGTTGACGGCCTTAGGCTCTTTTCTTGAAGTCTTTTCTCCCATGTCGTATCGGTCCGACAAAATCGTTGGTGCTAGTCAATTCTACAAGGAAGTTGTGCGAGGAAGAAAATTTTTTGTGAATCGAAATTTTCTTCCTCAGTGTGAATCAGTGGTGGACCGCCAATCATCCAGATGGTTTGGATGGGTATCGCGAGTTTTGTCGCGATGTGAGATGGTGAAATTGAGCGGCTGGAAATTGTCCGACCAATTTCTCAGAACACCATAGATGCAACATCTATACGCACTGCCAGTGAGTCAAGTCGATTAGAAAGAGTTCGTTTGCTGACAATTTTAACCGCTCTGCGCAGGATGCGATCAGATGGAAGGAGCCGGTACTGGGGAGCCCCGGCCTAGAAATAGGAAACAGTATTTAATGTGAGGCCTAACGTGCGCCTTGTAAAGTTGCAGGCGGTGTGCCGGCTTGAAATACTGTCCCACTCTGCTGAGCACACCAAACTTGAAAGAGACCAATTTGGCCTTCTCTTTCTCCTCCGCCTGGGGCCTGACCGCTGAATTAGCGGTCACTATTCAGCTGATGATCTTCAAGGTACCTCATAAGCTGGTAGTTTATAATGGATTCCAATATTTTGGAGAACAAGGAGGTGATAGCGATAGGCCTGTACCTAGACGAAACTGAGCGGTTGCCTTTTTAGGGATCGGATGGACCAAAGTTGTCCTCCATGAATTCAGGACTACGCCTAGGGTGTAGGAGTACCAGAAAAGTCATAGGCTGGACAGAAGATAACTTGACTGCCGTATACGCAAACTCCAGTCCGGGGTACAAAGGAGTGTTCTGATTTATACCCCGGGTAGGAGAAATACGAAGTATCAGCTGGAGAGGACACCTGTGTCCCGGTTAAAAAGAGCAAGGCCGATGTCTCCAGATGGTAGTGGATGGCGTTAAGGTTAGAATGTATTTTTCTGAAGTTGTAGAAATTCAGGGGTAGCAGTTGGTGGGAGTGGTAGGGGCCGACTTTGTTTTATTGCACCGCTTGTACCGGGCAGTTTTAGTTGTAAGTGGACTTTCACCCACGCAGAATACGCGGGGCCACCTGAACGCCCACGCACAGGAAGAGTAGGATAGCTTGGGCACGGATGTTCAGCGAGGGGTTAGCCGTCACCAGGTGTGTGTGCTTGACACATCACACTGCACTACAGAAGATAGACTTAAAACCTTATGGTATCATCCTCTATCCTACTTTCTTTACTAATTATCTTCATTCCAATTTTACGCCAACGATGAAAATATTTCAGTAAGCTCAACCCGTCACCACAAATTATTCTATATTATAACCCCAGGCAGACGAGTTGAGGCTTTGCAAAACAAAACAAACAAAAACAAAAAATTACTCTTGCACTGATAATGCTACTCTCAAACACCAGTGGCCCATACAACCCCAACTTAAACCAATATTGAAAGTAATTGCGAGGAATCCAAAAAAATACCTATTTTTATTAAAATAAACGTAATATATCGCGTGCACCAAAGTACTCAAATACCGCACTTCTGCACCTCGCCTTCGGAGTAGTGCCACCACGGAGGACGGAATAAAAGAGCTTCTAAAAGACTTCAAGTACAGGCTTTCCACCCGCTTTCGGAAACTCCTCCGTAATGCTATCCTTTCCCGGAGCCTTGCCATTTTTAAGATGCTGGAAAGCCATTCTTATTTTGCTCAGACTAACGTCTCACCAGACGTATCATCGGAACAGTGTGGTAGGAGTAAACTCGAACTCTTTTATATTTTTATTTTTGCGAATTTGAGCGCGTGGTCGTGTATAATGTCAGTTAACTGCATTGTACTAATATTTTGTTTTATAATAAACTAGCTGTGCCCCGCGGTTTCACCCGCGTCATCAGGTGTCAGAGGTGCGCGACATGACCTAGTTCAAGCATTTTATAACGGCTAGGGTTTAAGCGTCGTTCTCGCGACCAGCCAAGTATTGAATTATTTTAATTTTACATTATCTCTTAAACTATGCGTTCAAATAACATGGTATAAGGAACAAAGTTTATCTTCATAAAATTGTCTTGATGATGAAGTAACTTTCGTTCATAAGGATAAATAGGCCATGCCTAATAATAACGCTCATAAATCACTTTTAAATTTTCAATATTTTTTTGTCACAAAATACCAAATTATAACTTATGTATAAGAAACAGACATATGGTATCACGGACTTTTCCTTAGACAGAGTAAAGGTCTATATTTTTCTAGAACATTGTATTTACGTATCCCTAACGATAACACCAGCGTACGATAAATCATTTCGGGAGTGCTTTTTCTTCTGACTTGCTTAACAAATATCCATATTTAAGGCTAGCTGAGTAATATAGCTTAATGCTAGATAGCCTATACTATTCCACATGAATCTGGCTATAATATACAAAAAGAATTTTTGAAATAGGATTGGTAGTTCCAGAGATTAGCACGTTTAAACAAACAAAAAAACTCTTCCGCTTTATTATATTAGTATAGATTCAGCACCATTAGCAAGGCGTTACGGTAAACAGTGTTTTATTTTGCGTCCTGTTTCAGTATTTGAATGGTACCCTTCAACATCATTTACTCTTGCATTGCACTGTTTTACAAATATTTGCATGGTTACACACACATTTGCTGATTCTTTGACTGCTACCGCAGTGTTAAGGGTTTTGCTGCCGTAGCGAATCGGTACATTTATCGATACCGTTAAACTATATAAGCCAGTTAACTATATAAATTACAAAATGTACATTACCTCATCCTGTGTCAAAATGCCTCGCTCCCGATGCATCTGTAGTTCTCTTAATAAAAACTTTAAAACAGCACGGGGCAAAGAGCTTAGGACTTGGAGCTGTTCAGCTGTAAGCATTTCCGTTTGCTCGACGTGGAGTGTAGGAGACGACTTGGACGACACTGCTGAAGCATAAATATATACATAATTGTTGAAAAATACGAAGTGAGGGTAGAATTCTGAACCCCTTTTTTTAAAATAAGGGTGACAAACGAGCATACAGTCCACATGATGGTGAGTGGATGCTGTGGCCCATAGACATCTACATTAATCCGTTCGAGCAGTACAAAGACGCAAAGGATTAACTAAAATTACTCATTCTACAAATCATAATCATTATCGTGATTCTGTCCGTAGTAGCATAGAAGCCTGTGTCACATCGAGAAGTGTAAAGTTACTGTTCGTTTGCATAATTAATCTATGTTGGTGTTATCATTTAAACCCACATATTACAGTATAAAGATCTGATTGCCACTACGCTATACTGGATGTATAGTGCCGTACGCTGATAGCAAAGTAAGCAAGGGAACAATTTGAACATCCGCTCTCACACTATTGTTATTTTTAACGTTAAACTTTTGATGTTGCACCGACAGATACAATGATCGTGTCTTTGGTCAAAGTTAATAAAGTCATTAAAATCTTGTTAATAAGTTCCATAACAACGCATCGTAATAATAGACTTAACTTAAGTAGGCTAAGATATTAGACAAATTGATAACCCATTTAAAAATTGATTTTATTTGAAGTCGGGTAAGATCTTGAATTTGAAGCAGCGTCTTATGAAAATAATTTCTTTAAACAAAATTCAATTTTAAACATAAAAACTCTTTATAACCATGATGAAATAAAATATATATTAGAAACAGAAAAAAGAATACACATACTATGACTAGATGGCGCTGGACTGGGCAGTGGTTGTGGTAAATTTATTACCGGTGACCGCTCCGGTGCCGGCCACGACTTTTGACGCAGGTAAACACTTGCCGGACCTAGTCCCATTAGAGCTGAAACAATTTATTGTAACTTAGATACTTTAATTTTGAATGGTAACTCAGTAATGGATTTATCAGTATTGACAAATATTCTAATGAGTTGTGGCGTTACAAGAATATCCACTACTACATATCGTCACGTGGATATCGTAAAAGGCGACAGAGGGAAACAGGTGATAGGCAAAAGCATCTTCCCGATAATAACTTAAAATTATGAAAAAAAAATTGTGGTTGCTGATACACCTGTTAGGCATGGCAACTACTGCGATATCCCCCAATGAGGCAATCTGTCGCCTCCCCCATAGTTTGCCATAGATTTGTTCAGAGGTGCATTTTTATAGACAGTAGTGTATAGAGGGATAATGATTAATTTTGTGTGTGATGTCATTACACTCCGAAAATAATCGTCCCCTTAAATCGAAATTATAAATTTCGAACCTCATGTATTTGGATAAGAGATTATTATTTTGATGCTCACTTTGTCAAACCCCAATCGAAAAGTAAAAATACAGATAGACAGTGAAGAGATTTTGGAAGAACTTATCTTTCAGATTACGGTAGCAAATATATTAGCAGCAAAAAAAAAATCATTCAATATGTAGACTATCCCGCTCAATACAAAGCAAATGGTTACAGTACTACACAGTGAGTAACAGAATAGGTAAAAAACGTTTAAAACAATAATTCTTTTAAACCTAATAATACAAAAATAACAGTTAAAATAAACACACTATATTATAGATTGATAGATAGATAATTCGTTATTGACGTACCAAAACACAATAAAACAAAATACAGCAATAAATGGTAAAAAGTAGTACAATGGGTAGTCTGAAACAGAAAAAACAGAAACAAACTTTTTTTATTCAATATAGATTATGAATAATACTTATTGAAAGTTACTATTTTGTTTAATTACCACTGGTTCGAAAAAACATTCTGTCCTGGGAAGAACCAGCAAGAAACCCAGTGGGACTTTTATTTTTAAATAACAGTTTACAATCATGTATGTTACATAATTAACCACACGAAACAAATTAGAAATAGCTTGATAGCAATCACTTCATTCCCAGGGGTTATTATCATCCATAAATTCCTTAATACTATAATAACCCTTTCTTAATACAAACTTTGTTTAATAAAGTTTTTGAACTTTGAAAAGGTCAAATTCTGTATATTTTATGGTATTTTGTTGTAAAAGCGAATACATCGCCCCAAGAATGAATTACTGACTCGGTGGAGTCGAGTAACTGGTATTACTAGCTTGTGTCTGTTTCTAGTATTTACAGAATGAATATCACTTATTTTTTTTATAACTACCTTTATTTTTGTGTACATTACATTTTTATAAATGTATTGAGATGCCAAAGTTAATATATTAATTTCCTTAAATATTTGTCGGAGCGACTCTTTAGCTTTAAAATCATAGATTGCTCTTATAGCCCTCTTCTGTAAAACAAATATAATTTCAGTGTTAGTCGCGTGTTCCCATAGCAAAATACCATAAGACATTAAGCTATGGAAATGGTAAGATTACCTATCTTTTTACAGCATATGCTGCAAAACTAAGGCTGCTTGCTAATTTTAATATATGGAGGCTCCATTGAAGCTTCGCGTCTAGTGTTATTCCAATAAAAATGGTGGTATCGACAAGACTCAGTTCCCCCATTTAAAATTACATTAGTATATTACATTTCGTTTTAGTGCCACTTAAATGGAATGAAATTAAACATTAAACCAATATACTAATTTGGAAATAGCATTATTTAATTAGTCATATTTTAATAATTGTGGTTTTAATTTGAAAATTTTTTTTTTTTTTTATTCAATATACATTACATGTGTAATTCTTATTGAAAGTCATTTTTTTACTTTACCACTGGTTCGAAAAAACCCTCTGTCCTGGGAAGAACCAGCAAGAAACCCAGCGGGACATTTTTTTTAAATAAATTTTACAATATAAATGATTACGAACTATTTACAAAATTTATTTTAGAAACTGCTTGGAAGCGATCACCTCATTCCCAGGGGTTATTATCAACCATGTATTCATTTATACTATAATAACCCTTTTTATACAGTTTCAGCTTAATGAAACATTTAAACTTGGTAATAGAGAGAACCTGTATACTTTCCGGGACCTTGTTGTAATAGCGTATACATTGCCCCAAGAATGAATTACTGACTCTGTGGAGTCGAGAAACTGGTATCACTAGCTTGTGTTTGTTCCTAGTGTTTACAGAATGTATATCACTTCTTTTACTAAAACTATCTTTGTTTTTGTGAACATACATTAAATTTTCGTAAATATACTGAGAGGCCAAAGTTAATATATTAATTTCTTTAAATTTATCTCTAAGGGACTCTCTCGGTTTTAGATTGTAAATAGCTCTAATGGCCCTCTTCTGTAAAACAAAAATAGTTTCTGAATCAGCCGCATTTCCCCATAGCAAAATCCCATAAGACATTATGCTATGAAAATAACTAAAATAAACTAATCTAGCTGTCTCGACACTAGTGAGACCTCTAATCTTTTTTACAGCATAGGCTGCAGAACTTAGTCTGCTTGCTAATTTGGATATATGGGGGCCCCACTGTAGCTTTGCGTCAAGAGTGATGCCAAGAAAAACAGTGGATACAACAGGGCTCAATTCCTCCCCATTTAAAAACACATTGGTATTAAGATTTTTAACATTCGTTGTTGTAAATTTAACACAATTAGTTTTATTTCCGTTCAAATGCAGATTATTAACGTTAAACCAATGCACTAATTTTGATATAGCATTATTCACTTCGTCACATTTAAATGATTGACGTTTAAGTTTAAAAATCAAGGAAGTATCATCAGCAAATAATACTATATCATGACTATCCCCTACAAGGTGAGGTAAGTCATTAATATATACCAGAAACAGGAATGGGCCGAGAATCGAGCCCTGAGGAACACCCATTAGTACAGGTGACCCGGAAGAACTTTTACCATTGATAATAACCTTCTGTTTTCTATTACTTAAATATGAAATAATAAGTTTAAGCGCTGTGTTCTTGACACCATAGTACTGTAGCTTCCTGATTAATATATCATGGTGAACACAGTCGAAGGCCTTGGAAAGGTCACAAAATATACCCAAAGCATCCTCTGAATTCTCCCATGCACAAAAAATATGTTTAATAAGCTCAACTCCAGCGTCAGTTGTCGAGCGACCCCTTGTAAAACCGAATTGATTTTTATGTAGCAATTTATTAATATTGAAGAAACTTAACATCTGATCTAAAATAATTTTTTCAAAAATTTTACTTAATGTTGGTAGTACAGAAATTGGTCTAAAATTGGCGGGGTCTAATGTACTACCAGATTTAAATATAGGTATGACTTTACTATGTTTCATTAAATCAGGAAACACACCAGATTCGACGCTTATATTAAATATAGTGGCTAGATAAGGTGCTAATGTATCTATTATAGATAAAATAACTTTAACGGAAATCCCCCATAAGTCTGCCGTTTTCTTAACATCAATAGCTTTAAAATATTTAACGATATCTTTTGGCAGTACCCTATGGAATTTAAAAGTATTTGAACAAGCCTTTACATTTTGTTTGAGCAATGATTCGGCGACAGTAGGAGAAGAATTTAATGATTTTGTTGTCAAAAAAGGAACATCAGTAAAATGTTTCTCAAAAGCCATAGCAACTTCTTGATCAGATCGCGTTAAATTATTGTTAATATTTAATTGAAAATCCGAGTTGCGCGGTTTGACCTTGCCCGTTTCACTATTTATTATTCTCCAGGTCATTTTAATTTATGAAGTGTCATCAGCAAATAATACTATATTATGGTTATCCCATACTATGTAAAGTAAGTCATTAATATATACAAGAAACAGAAAGGGGCCGAGAATTGAGCCTTGAGGCACGCCCATTTGTACTATCGACCCGAAAGAGCTTATTAACAACTTTTTGGCTTCTGTTACTTAAATATATGAAACAATTAATTTAAGAGCATTACTTCTTACACTGTAGTGTTGTAGTTTCCTGATTAATGTTGCATGGTGAAGACAATTGAAGGTCACAATATGTACCCAAAGCATCCTGTGAATTCTCCCATGCATTGAAAATATATTTAATCAGCTCAACACCTGCATCAGTTATCGAGCAACCCCTTGTGAAACCGAATTGATTTTTATAAATATTTTTTAATTAAACTATTTACATTAAAAAAATTAACATTTGATGAAGAATAATGTTTTCAAAAATCTTACTAAGTGTTGGCAGGACAGAAATTGGTCTAAAGTTGGCGAGGTCTAATTTACTACCAGATTTAAATAAAGGTATTACTTTACTATGCTTCATTAAATCAGGAAACATACCATATTCGATACTAGTATTAAAAATAATAGCTAGATGATGCGCGATTATATCTATTATAGACGCAATAACTTTAAGGGAAATCCCCCATATATCTACAGTTTTCTTAATATCAATAGTTTTAAAATATCTTTTGATGATATTTTATATTAAATATAAAATTCTTTGTACACGCATTTACATTTTATTATAGTAATGAATGAATGAATGAATATACTTTTGTTGTACACCACGAACAAATTTACAAATGACATCAACAACAACAAAAATCAGATTATAATATGTACAATTTGGCGGCCTTATCGCTACATAGCGATCTCTTCCAGGCAACCAAAGGTGTAAAGTAATACAAACAATGAATAGGTAGGTGGTAGGTGGTGCAATATAAATATACAAATAATAAATGCAAAAAAAAGATATAAATAACTAAGTAATACATGAAATAATATAAATTACTAACACATAATAAAAGATAAAGGAAAACATATAATATATACATATACATACACATATACATACATATATATACGTATACATACATATACACATATATATATATAAACATATATACATAAATATACACACAACACATATATCAATATACATATATATATATATACAAAATTCCTCAAACAACAATATAA